GGAGGATGGAGCAAGTGGAGATCCTGAGGAGGTTCATCCAGAGGGTCCAGGCCATGAAGAGTTCGGACCACAATGGGGAGGACAACTTCGCCCGGGACTTCATGCGATTAAGAAGATTGTCTACCAGATATAGAACAGAAAAGATTTATCCCACAGCCACTGGAGAAAAAGAAGAAAATGTTAAAAAGAACAGATATAAGGACATACTTCCATGTAAGTTTGAAATGCCCCTGATAAAGCAAACAGAAATAATAACTAGCCATTTGTAATCTCACTAGCTTGATTCCTGAATTTAGTCGTTAAGGAGGCAGTATTAATCTTTTTCAAGATAACACTACAAAATAATTTATAGCTGTGCTTCTTAGAAGCCTTTCCTTCTCATAGTAGGTTATCATTGTAATGGCCTGTCGAGAATTTGAAATGGGAAGGAAAAAGTGTGAGCGCTATTGGCCTTTGTATGGAGAAGACCCTATAACATTTGCACCATTTAAAATTTCATGTGAAGATGAACAAGCAAGACCAGACTACTTCATTCGGACACTCTTACTTGAATTCCAAAATGAATCTCGTAGGCTCTATCAGTTTCATTATGTGAACTGGCCTGACCATGATGTTCCTTCTTCATTTGATTCTATTCTGGACATGATAAGCTTAATGAGAAAATACCAGGAACACGAAGATGTGCCTATTTGTATTCATTGCAGTGAAGGCTGTGGAAGAACAGGTGCCATCTGTGCCATAGATTATACATGGAATTTACTAAAAGCTGGGAAAATACCAGAGGAATTTAATGTATTTAATTTAATACAAGAAATGAGAACACAAAGGCATTCTGCAGTACAAACAAAGGAGCAGTATGAACTTGTTCATAGAGCTATTGCCCAACTATTTGAAAAACAGCTGCAACTGTATGAAATTCATGGAACCCAGAAAATTGCTGATGGTAATGAAATAACCACTGAAAATATGGTCAGCTCTATAGATGGTGAAAAACAAGATTCTCCTCCTCCAAAGCCACCAAGGACTCGCAGTTGCCTTGTAGAAGGGGATGCTAAGGAAGAAATACTGCAGCCACCAGAACCTCACCCGGTGCCACCCATCTTGACACCTTCTCCCCCTTCAGCCTTCCCAACAGTTACTACTGTGTGGCAGGACAACGACAGATACCACCCAAAGCCGGTGTTGCACATGGTTTCATCAGAACAGCATTCAACAGACCTCAACAGAAACTATAATAAATCATCAGACACAACAGGGAAAAGTGAATCAACTATTGAACAAATAGATAAAAAATTAGAGCGAAATTTAAGTTTTGAGATTAAGAAAGTCCCTCTCCAAGAAGGACCAAAAAGTTTTGATGGGAACACACTCTTGAATAGGGGACATGCAATTAAAATTAAATCTGCTTCCTCTTGTATAACTGATAAAATCGCTAAGCCACAGGAGTTAAACTCGGGTGATCTAAAAGTTGATGATGTTTCTCAGAATTCTTGTGTGGAGTGCCATGGAACACGTTTAAGCAAAGCTCCTGATACTTTATCAGAAGAATCACAGAAGAATTCAGACACACCTCCACGGCCAGACTGCTTGCCTCTTGATAAGAAAGGACATGCGACATGGTCATT